TGTATAAATTGATTAACTTCCTGGTTTGTCGCCAGTGTGGTTTCCTGTCAGCTCCGGTGGCAATAAACCTCACTCGGTTCCAGAATTCTGGTTTTGTATGGTTTTATTCCTTCTACAAATCATTTTATTTAACAATGGTGGTTTTCATATTGACTTCAGTYTATTGAACACGTATTTTCTTACACCCTCACATCTGATTCTCATTTGTTGATTCGCACCTGTCCTGTATCTTTTGTTTACTCATCTGTTCTGTGTAAAATAAAACATCTTCTTCAGCCTAGCTCCTTCGTCTGATTAAACTCTGTTTTTGAGCTGTCCTTTTATAGATCATGTCAAGAACTGGATCTGATTATAACATKCAGGATGTGTTCCTGAGCCAACGCAGTAATTTGTTTAAATCATATTTTACATTTTTTTAATGCAGTCAAAGGTCACAATAACAATTTTCATCCTACTTTATGGGTTCATACTTTGGCGGAAACTCGTTTGGTATTTAGTATTTGTTCGTCTAAAAGACCAGACGGTATAATAAAGTGGAGTTTATATGCATAACTAAATGTGAGAGCATGTTGAGAATGAATAAGTTAGAGAAGGTGAAACTAAAAAGATGAACCTGTTGAGTCGGTGGCACCAGCTGCAGTTGAAGTTAATCTGTGCGGAGATGCAGGAAGCACAGCTGCTGAACTGCAGACAGGCTGCAGACAAGAAGGGTAAAAACAGGTCAACTCATTTATAAAAYCAATTAGTCACAGAAAAGCTCTAGGTTGAACTTGGAGAGTATAATGAATCGATTCAGAAGCTGCCACTGAATAAAAAAAAGGCTTCATACTGGGTAAAGGTGTTATTTCCACTGCTGTGGARCTGCTGATCCTCGCCGTCGTCAGCTCCACACGGTGGTACTCGTAGATTGTCCTTCGCCTCACATCTGCAATTCAGAAGAAAGAGTCAGAGTCACGAAGCGGAAGCAAGATCCAAACGTGGTACCCAGAGAGAAAACCCCCAAACCAAACGTGGGCAAGTGGTCTCTAAACAGAAAAGAGGGAAAATGGGGTCAGAAGAGATGCCACTGCAGCATTTCTCTGCTCCCTCTGTGCCCAATGTGTCCGGCCACGGCTCGGTAATGTAGGGGAGCAGACCTCCCTGGAACCTGATATCAATCTGACCCTGTCATCTGGAATAGAAAGTCATCAGCTGGGGTGAGATGGAGCTCATGATTGGACACATCACTGACTCCCCTGACTGCTGCTGAATGGACTGCTTTCTTTTCCTGATCATATATCTTCAGCMCTATCACACAAAACAGAGGAAGAACTTAAAAACACGTTCTACGCTATCTGAATCCTAATTTTAAACCTTAAACCTGAATCACTGTGTTATCAGCAAAAACCACTTGTTATCCACACAAACAATGAAAATCCTCAAATCCTCAGTCCCCATGGGTTAAGTCACTTAAATGTCTTAGTGGATGTCAAAGCTCTCTCATACCTTTCCACTTGAACAATTTGAACAAATTGTCATTAGGAAGTTCTTTTTGCTTGCTCGGTTGATTTATTTATTTATTTATTTTTACCCTGGGAATTGTTCAGCGCGCTGGCTGGAGAGCTGTTCTCATGTGATGGGACGTTGCTTCCCTGCAGACATGCTTGGTTTGATTATACACAGGACAACTGATCAAAGCAGCAATGTGTGAGCCGGCCCCAAACAGACTGAAAATAAGACCACCCTTCCTTTTCTCTCCTCATGCTCCCCTGGTGTTTGACTTCCTTTCGCTTCCAGCAAAGGGATTATCAGGTGCCTAACGACACGGAGAGGCCAGAGGAAGGTTACATTCCCATCTTGAGGATGTTGATGAGTGGGCAGACTGTACAAACACACGTGACGCTACAGAATAGATCAATTATATACTGGTCCTAGTAATAAAATAAATACCTAATGTGAGGCTACTCGCTGAACACATGGCATCAATTACATACATGTTAAAATGTGACACCATACAATAGATTACAACCCTATTTCTGAAAAAAAAAAATCCAAAAAAAATGTTGATTAAAGCTCTATTGTGCAGATAAGAAGCCGTGCTTTGCAGGCTAGAAGAGTGCAGAACAGGTCTGAGTTTGCATCATAATGGGACATTATCCTCTAAAAACTCCAGCAAAATGATTTCTTTCAGTTTCTAATGTTTAAAAGAAATGGGGATACTTCAGACTTAGACACGAACCTTTTCCTCACTGTTTTGAGTGTTGCTGTCATCAAATTCAAAAATACATTTTTTTCTCCCCTAACCATAATCGAACTTCTCAATTTAAACAGTTTAATGTTTTTCCTAGAGAAGTTCATTACGTCACGCTTGATCCACCAGTCCAAACGTTCTGTAAACGGTATAAAGATGCTCAGATTTATTGTGTAAAAACAAGCTACTACTACTGCTTTTTAATGCAAATTTAATTAACCAGGTGGGCAGTAACATAAGTATGTACAGTAAATAAGTAAATTTACTTGTAGTTTTTGAGAAAACATTTTACTTTTATTCCACTTATTAACTATAAAATCAAACTTTTCACTCCGCTATATTTCTCTAAAGGTTTGCATCTATTTTGTTCCAAAATTACACCTCTATACACTGAGTGCTGTGTCCACCACCACAGTCAGTTTTTACACTGACCCAAAGCGCACATTTTTTTGTGTACGCTTGAACTTTTGTAACATTTCYTTTTCTCGTTTTTGCTTCTCTGGTTAGATTAATAAATAAAAGCACTGAGCATTAATTAATAATTGCAGTCTTGGCATCTTGCTTTGAAACTAATCCAAACAGGCAAGGAAACAGGAAGAGGGCGGAGCAGACTTTGGCTTCATAAAAAATGAATACACTGTGAGTGACAAAGTGTAATTAAGCCTCAGGGAAGTATATTAAATCTGGATCTCATCACACGCTTGTAGCTGACCTGCTAATTAWAAAAGCTGACCACAGAACTCCTACAAATCTTCTCTTACATCTCTGAATTTCCTGACTTGATCTGACTGGAGGTGGTGTTAAAATAATTTATTTGAGTTCGTTTAATAGAAAAAAAAACTAGAGCAAGTTAAAAAAAGTCATTGGGTTTTCATGGTTACACATTAAACGGCAGCCGAGACCCTTATTGGAGTTCTGTACCAGTCACGCTTTCCCAGCCTCTTCTTTCCCTGTCAGGATTAGGACTTAATATACTTAAAAGGACCCAATAGAAATGATAATCTGGAATGACAAGGATGTCAAAAATCTGTCAAAAATATTTCCTTCATCGGGATGAAAAGATTAAAATAAGACCCAGACTACAGTGAGACAGTCTTACTTTTACTTTCTATTTTTTTTTTCAAATTCAGATTTGCAAAAACTGAAAGGCAGATCTCAGGAGCTCATATGATTCATTGGCTCTGTCAGAATCAGTCAGAGCTGTTTATCTAATATTGGTTGAGTTAGATATGATAAGGCTTATCAGCATCCTCTCAGCAGCATCCTTTATAGTCCAATGACTGCAACAAGAAGGGAGGACTTGAGGTGGCACAGGGATCTTAGCCATGCCGAGTGATGATCAGCTTTTCAATTAAAAAAACCCAAGTGTTAGCTTTGTTTTTTCTAAAAACAACATTCTTACCCATATGAACAATTTGCTTTTAAGGACAAAACTGCACTATGTATCAAAACTATCAATATCACAAAAGATTCAAAAATAATCAAAGTCCCAAAAAATATTTATTTAGCAGTCAGTTGGAAGTCCCAATCCTCTAAAGCTCAAGGCCAGCAGATATAGTGTATTGTAATGACAGATCAGGTGGGTTTATTGTAGCTGATATATAGCTATAATATAGCAATCATGTTTTCCTAATAGCCTGCAGCCCGATTAAGGACCCTTCTCTATCATTCTCTCTGCCATTAAAATGTAGCTCTGATTGCACAGGGAGTCCTTTGTTGCTGTTATTTTCAGACCATTACTGTAAAACTTTATGACACTTTACAAGACATTGCAAATGACTTCTCTTCTTCCACAAACAAAAGAGTGTACACTTTTTTTTATAATTCACAAGTTTGACAGTTTTTGTTCAGCTAATGCAAGTGTTATACTGTGTATGAACATGCATTGAGCTGCTTCATTTTCATCAGGTGGGTAACCCGATCTAGGTCTTGCTTTAGATGTTTGCAGGTAAAAATTTCTGTTTTGGCTTATATATGGGGAATATTATGTATTTTCTAGGCATATAGTTCAATTCTATGCCACAATCATGTAACAGTAGCTGCATTTCCATTGCAAATGTGCGCAAAACTTTGTTGATATTCTGTTAATGTCGAAAAACACAGTTTCGCAGCTGCGGTGTTTCCATTAAGTAAGAAATGCTATTAAAGTCACGCGTGAATACGTTTGTTCTCGCGATAAGTCATTATAAACATGGCGGCAATGGATGTAAAAAAATAGCATGTTGCTACCGCGACACTGGCGCTCATCATCAGAAGAGACGTCGGCGTCTTTTATCGAGGCTTTCCAGCAACAAGTCCCTACTTGGGAGCAGTTACGTATGCTGTATTTTTGGGAAATTGTAGTCGGTGAGTTTACTACATTCTTTTACTACTTCTGTGATATTACTACTACCTCTACTTCCTGTTTTCTTCTTCGTCGTCGTCTTTTTCGCCAGTAGAAACAGCTGGTTGTGATCATGTGACGAAAAAAGTGTTTCCATTGCAGTTTTGAGAAAAATACCAATTTCGATTCGGCTGACAAAACACCTCATCCTAGCGCAAAAACATTTTGTCGAAAAAATGTAAAGTTTTTTTCGAAATTGACATGTTTCCATTGAGCAAATTTATTTTCAAAATTCTAATTCGCGCATTTTATGGTCAATGGAAACACAGCTAATGTTACCTTCAGTTGTTTTAAAAATGCTCTATATATCAAAAATAAAATTGACTTTGCTTCTCTAAACGCTTTGAAATTTGTTCCTATCATTTCCGACATTCCCACTTCAGCACGTCTTCACAATAATTCTTTGGGGGAGGGATGCTCTGTGGGGTGAGAGCTCATCTTCAGACTGAGCAYCAGGGAGGAGCTTTGTGTAAATGGGTGGGGCTTTGTACCTGCATGCATTTAGGCAGCTCCACATGGCTACCTCAGGAGATTCAAAGATTTAAACATGCATCAATGAGACAAAGAAACACTCTGGGTATGTTTTTGATGAGGTAATGACTATAACAATATAAAGTTCAAAAAGTTGATTTTGCAAAAGACGCTCCCTTTAAACTAATTTCAGGTACATGTAGCACTGTTTATTTTTGGGAGACAGAGTCAGACCGATCAATAGTTTGGGTGTCATGCAGACCGAGTGCAACACCTTCATTTCAGTTCATCTCTGTTCATGATTTCATCACTCTGCAACCAAGCAGCCTCACCGGTTTCATCACGTTGTGTCAGAGGCATCAAAGATAGCTGAGTTTATTAAGAACAAGAATATTTCATATTTAAATTTATATGCAGCAGTGAGAAGTTTTTGGACATAAAAAAACCTGTCAGATAAGACAAAAACAAACCAGAATCTTCTACACCTACATCTTTTTTTTTATTTCTTTCATTTTTGATAAAACTCACACAGGCAATAAATGTTTGGTTTGCCTTTTTTTTTTTTGGCTGAAATGACTATGATTATATGATGTTACTTGCTTATGATTTTCTGCTTTAATTTGGACAAACTAATCACTTTAACTATATATTTTTTACAATTTGGCTAAGACATTTATAATACAAAAGCATTCCAAAAAAAGTCACCACCCTAACAACTCCACAAGCCTCATAATCTTTGCACTGCTGTGTTGGTTTGCAAGTATAAACCAAAAATGTTGGTCTGAGACTCACTGGGTATCTGCTGGATCTTGTGGACCACCACAAAAGCGTCAGAAAGGCCCACCTTCACCGGGTGGTTGATAGAACTGATTTGTGATATTCCAGTGGGGATCTGAAACAGAACAAAGCAGAATATTAATCTAAATACTGATAGATAACAACAGTAAGAAGTCTGACAGTGTTGATACTCTCAGTTTTCAATGTATTTGCAACACAACAAACAAAGAATCTCMATGATATTAAAAATAACACTTTTAACACAAATATAATGCGAAACTCTATTCAGAACTGGTGTTTAGGTTAGTTATGTTACAGAGAAGATATCTTGTGGATAAACATGCAGCTCATCTCTATGGAACTAACTTAGAATTACCAAAAAAAAATTGTACGTAATGGATTTGTTGCATGTTTTAGACCAATAATGTARCTGAACAACACAAGCTTAAAACCAGCTTCAGTTACATGTGAAAAAGAAGTGTGACCTGCTGTTATCACTGCTGCAATCAGCATGCTTCATGACTTAGTTATTGCAGTTTCACACCACTCCAGCAGCAGTCTCTGTTGGACTTCCGTTTGTTCTTTTTCTTTCATAAACTTATTTTATTTCTTTCTGCACAGTGAAGGTATTTTTCCAGGTTTCAGATATAAAAGGTAATGGACAGTTATCCAAAAACTGAAACTCCAGATATGACAGCAGGATACACACACAAAAAACAAAATATTTTCTTGTTTTGTATAATCTATATGCAACTAAGATTTTTTTTCAACAAGTAAAAAGGAAGTGATATGAAGGAGTGTTAGAAACAATAATAAAAAACTCTTAAAGCGTTTGGCATTAGAAACATCAAGGAAGCAAACCATGGGAGCTGTGTGAGTGAGGAAGAGTGTGAAATGAGTTATGTTTTTTTTCTTGTTGTACCATATGTGCAGTGAAAATTGCACTTTTACATACTGTACAAAGGCTTCTGGAAATACTGTGTCTAATTTACTACATTGTTCATCAAGATCTCTGCATGATCACATTTTTTCACRGTGAAAATTTGAGCTAAAGCACATTTTCTATTGAGCAATAAATACAATAACTAAAATCTCATTAAATATATTTATTTAAGAGACTTAGAAATTAAAACAACACACAGAAGCCATAAAATTGTGCAAGCGAGTGATAATTAGTGCATAAACACAATAAGCTGCCATGTAATGTATGAGTGGAGGTTACTTTGAGACATGCKGTGCATAAAAATGGACTTCAGCGCCTCTCTGTTTAGTCTGGAAACAATGAGCTAAAACATTTAGGAATTTATAAACCAACAGCACGACTTGTGACAGTGTTGGAATAAACACCGGCAGGGAAAGAAAAGGACACAGACAAGGCAAGAATAAAAGCTCAGACAGGAGTGGGAAAAAAGAACCTCTTTGTATGCGAAGACGATTCTGCCTGTATTGTGCAGCGTGGCCTGGAAGGTGAAGCTTCCCAAGTTGTAGTTGTCCTGTAGGTGGACGTGGTCCCACTGCACCACCAGTGCTGTACCTGATGGAGGAGGAAAACACATTTATTGCTGGCTTAGTCAGATTAATTGTTAACATGATCCATTTTTCTTCTAAATGTTTTTTTTTCTTCAGTTTTTGTGTTATTTTAACAAAAAACATATCAAAGTGTTCAACTACTTCAGGATATTTCGGCTACTTTTATTTCAGCAATTTATGCTTTTTGAGATATTCATCTTTTTCTGCCACTTTTTTATTGTTAAAAAGAATGGAGACGTCTTCAACTTCCTTAAAACTCTTCCAAATGTTTATATGTTTTTATTACACTTTTCACCTTTGCTGAAGCAAAGGCTAATATTCGCCTGCTTTAGCTTCCTTTTGCTAACTCTGACTTTTATCTGCTTTTTCAGCTGTCATCTTCAGCTCATTTATTCTTCTGTGCTTCTTTCATGCTTTCTGGTAATTCCAACCGTCTTCTGCCTTTTTAGCCATTTTCAGCTATTTTTAGCTTTATTTAATTGAAAGTCACATTTGTTTCAATTTTTAGCTACTTACGGCTCAATTCAGCAAACCTGCTCTGTTTCTTTGTTCTACTTTTTACTTTTTTTTAAAGCTTTTTCCAGTTAATTTCAGCTGTTTTAGCTACTTTACAACAAATTTAATTTTTTTTTCTCCTTTTCTCATTATTTCTGAAACTTATAGCGTCTTTTTGCTAATTTTAGATACTTTTTCTTGACTTGATTACAGCAACTTTCAGCAAAAATCAACAATAAGCATTCACACTGCATTTTCACGGGAAATTCAAATTCTCTGATTCAGTTTAGAGTTTGTCATGTTTGCTGTAAAAATAAAGCAAAGTTTCTTCAAGGCAGGAMGTCCATCTTTCTGATGTTGCAGCGAGGGGACTGACTCTGAATCAGCTCTGATAGAAAAATACTCAACTAGAAAAGGAAAAAGTAAATAAAACCTGAACTGTTCAAAGAGTGCCCTTTATTGAGATGGATTATATAGTTTGGACAGCTTTAAACACTGAGGTTTTTCACACTGTGCAGGATTGAGCTGAAGGAACTGGAAGTGTTCGTCTGGACTAGACTGAACCAAGAGAACCGTCTTCACCCTCAAAAATGGTCAGCTTATACAAAATCATCTAGGTCTGTCCACCTGTCAGTCAATCATACATTTTATTTATTCATATTCAACAAACTGATCGCACTCTGAGGACAAATTAAATCATTTTATTTGATTAAGGCTGCAGCACATTCATGAGCCTAAAACCAGATCCAAGCTAAAAACCAAATTATTCACACAGAAAAAAGTCAGTTTTTAAAAACCAGTAAACAATGGTGAAATGCCAGCATTCTCATTCAGCTACTTCATTTTTAGTACTTGTGAATGTATTTGTGACATTACACAGATTAGGTCTGATCATGAAATGGCAGGTGATGTTTATAATCTAACATGTTTTGTGACACAACTGGTCCTGGTTATAAGAAATCTTTTCAAAGTATAGAAATCAATAAATTAAATATTAATTTCTGAACATAGCCTTCATCCTTGGCCCACCATAGAACAGGTCCTGCTTTTCTTTCAACACCGTTTTGATTGACTGTGGACTTTGGCGAGCCCATTGACATGAAAGCCATTTGGCCCGTCGCCAGGCCAATGAAGTTTTGTTTACACAGCCGATCAATTTTYCCCCCGTCGCACAGCCAGAGCACTTCCATCCAAAGTAAAGAGCTTCTCTCTTGGCAGCTCGGAGATCAAGGGTGACTAGTCGAACAGAAACTTCAGTAATAAATTACATGTTGTATACGAAGGGCTTTTAGTCTTGGGGGGGGGGGGGGGTTTCACGTGTGAAAGAGTAATAACAGATTTATGACTCCAGTGTGTAAGACACAGGAAAAAGAGATAAACATAAAAACAATGAACATCAGTGGCTCCTAACTTCTGTTACATCTGGCCCTCTCAGTCAGCACAAACTGAAGCTTGACCCAATAAAACAAGTCTGCTGAGTTCAGGAGGGAAGGCTGCCATGATATCTGGGGCTTCCTGGCTAAAAATACAAACTGGGGTGAGAAGGCGTGGAGAGAATCAGCACTGACCTTGTTTCTATTCCCACTTACAAACTTTTACATAGAAACAAAACAAAAAACCAAGTAGCTGATGTTTTGTTGTCTGGTGTCCAATTAGCATCATAATGAAGCTAATTTTATATTTTCTAAGTWAAGATTCTGCTTAAAGCACTTTTACAACATTTTCAAAGCTTATATTATTGCTACAATGAAGTTTTTAGATAAAGTTTTTTTCATTGTAGGAGAAATAAGTAGGTCTGTCTGCCTGGTGAGGTCAGTTTGGTGAAAATGACTTGTACGTATGTAGGAAACCTTTAGTTACCTACCAGCTGATTATCTGAATAAAGTTTTCATTTAATCAAAAYATATTGTTCTTCAGTTAGTAATCTAAAAAGCTTGTTTGTTACTTTCTGTACCCGACACTCTGCCAAAGCTACATATTTTCTGCACAAGAAAAGTGAGGCAGATTTTATGAATCTGCAGAGATTAGTGAGATTCTAATCCGGRTAAATTGACTTCTGTTTGACTTATATACAAATACACATGTACTATATGTCAAAATGAGAATTTATGCTCAATAAAAAAGGTGCATAATTTGTGCATTATACAGAATTATGGACCATAATAGTCACCACACGCATCACCTTCTATTATGCTATTGAAAGTGTAATTCACACAAAAAAAGATTAATTTTCAGCCAGATGTGTTATATATATAATTACATCTTTTAAAAGATCTGGCCAGAAAACTATTTATTTAATTTTAGCAAATAAATTTTTTTGCATTAACTCACAGTTTTAGAAGCTGATATGTGTTTGATCCATGAAGGACACAAATAAGTTTTTTTCGATTCATCTTGACAGAATATATGACTATAAAGCCACGTTTTTCTCATAGTAGGTGTTCTCCCTGTGGCTTTGGATGATAATGTGCAGGCGTGTCCTTTTGTGCACTTCTATAATTTTACTTAAAAAAGCCATTTTAACAAGCATCTGATTGTGCTTAGTGTTCTAAAACTTCATTTGAAATGATTCATTTATGCTGCAGGAAGTCAAGTCTTCACCTGTTTCATTTCTTCTATATTTAGAGACTGTGATTAACAAAAAAAAAAACATGACAAGACAGAACATCTGATAGCAAGGCTTCACACTGACTGTGTGAAGTTTCACACAAACACACAGTGTCGTGAACAAACACCATATCTCTGCTGACAACGCTTCATCGAACGTGTTTTTCATTTTTAATGAAGCCTCCTCCACGACACAGCGGACCGTACAGTTCCCGTGTCGTCTTATCGGCAGCASGCTGACTGATGGACAGTGAGACGAGGAGCAGGCAGCCTCGGGATCGATCGACTGCTTGTTTAGTTAAAGTCTGATGAGCGTCTCTGCGGAAGGTCAAGTTGTTGGTTTGTCACTCTGATGCAGAGTGAAACAGTAACGATGAGCAAGGTTAATAAAACTTAATGATGGAAAAGGAGAATTACTGAGACTTTGTCCTAAATTGAAGGGAATGAGTGGAAATTAGTGGGATTTTCTTTGTTCATATTAATAACAAAGAAACGATGATACGAAAATAACCCTGATTGTTACTCATGAAGGATCATCTTTGAATAATAGGCTTTCATTTTTGTTACACCAGCTTTCTTTTTAATCAGCTTGACGTGCAGCATAACTTTCGAGTCATCTCTCCCTTCTGAGCAAGCAAGTGATCAAAACCACCACTCACTCTTGAAGACACACGATCCTTACCATTGTCAAAATAAATGACAGTAGAGTTTCTGGAGACGCTCGGGTCAAAGTTGGCCATCAGAGGAGCGATGTATTGCGTCGCTGTTAGCATCCGGTGGACGACATCACCAGTGTAGATGAAACCTGAGGGAGCGAGCACAGAGGAGCAAAAAACAACATTACTTTGTTTAGAACAGTGTGGCTTTTAGGCTGATTTAGCAAAAATCTGTTCATCCTCTACTTGTCTATTTCATACATCATTTTTCAGCATAACGTTTCTGCTCTCCAAATTTAAAAGGCTGCTCATTAACCAGCAACTGTCCCTTTTGCTGCTTCCTTCGAGSTGGAGGCAGCCTCAGCAAGCAGGAGCGTTTAATTACTTTCATTTTTTATTAAAGAAGAGAAACGCAAACTAGAGGGGATTTATAAATGCTAAATGAGCAGTTGTGTACCACATCTACTTTATGTTAATGACGACACCATGACATTAAAAAGRAGCTTTGTTGCATTTTCCCAATAAACAGACAAACTCAAACTGATATTTAACAGTCTACGAACGTGGTTAATAATTGACTTCATAAAATAAATCAATACACTATTATTCAACACGAGGGGATGCATTTCTAACAACCTAATTTCACAGCRGACTGCAAAACGGAGCAAAGTCAGCTGCTGTTTAAACTATTTAAGACCAAAGCTTTTGTTTTGACTCTGATTAAATGCAAAATGATTCAAAACCAACATGTGGCTTTAAAGTGATTAATCTGGAACTTGAGCTTGAAGCAGCTTTATAAATCAAAAAGGAATTGACGAGAATAACTGTGAAAAATGAAACACACACCTACAACAGCAGCGGCATTAATTTTTTTTTCCCAGCCAAATGATTTATGCCAGAATCTGTCTACAGGAGGGGAGGAAAGAAATTCCTAGAGGTGTGCTGAATAAAAACAGATTTTTTTGTGAAACATTCTCCTGAAGTGCAGTTCCATGTTACAATATGTGTCTTCATAAAGTAGGTGGGTTTTTAAAAAAACATATCAATCGTTCTGGAAACAGGCTGAGCTTACTGAGAGGAGGATCAATCTTTGCTCAAAGACCTCCCTGCTCAGAATTACCTCTGTGTACGACAGTCAGAACTCAGCTCAAGAGCACAGGAAAATAAATAAATAAATCTGATTTGATTTCRTAGCATGAGAGGGCCACCTGAAGAGGAGTTAGGGAGGTAAACCATGGAGCCCTACAAGGTTTAAAAGAAGTTGCTATGGTTGCATGTATTTTTTTATCCTTGATGAAAATGTAAGTGTTTAGCAAAAATAGTCTTAACATATTGACCCACCAGAWCATAGACACTGATACATTAAAAACATCATGTATAACGACAACTGATGCAGGCCTTTTTAAATGATTTCATTCATAAAAAATAAACCAATTTGACTGGCTTATCTTCTTTGATATACAATACACAGGATGTCTACAGTGAATGAGATGCATGCCAAGTGGATGAACAGAAAGTGACCAAAGTAATGCTGATAAAAAAGAATGTTTCTAATATGGAAATGTAAAAGCTGCTGAGTCACGACAACACAGCAGACAAACATTCAGGATATGTTGTGTTCATGTAAATGATTTAAAGAGTGTTAAAAAAACCCTTACATAGCAATCTAATTTGCTGTTGGCACGTGGCTCTTTTTATGACATCATCAACGCTACTAATGCTGCTAATGCTTCCTAACAAGACATTAAATTTGCAGTTGTGGCTGGTGTCCGAGCTGCACTTTATAAATCTCATCTATATTGTTGTCATTAAACACACTTTGAATTTAAAGGGGCAATATTATGTGTTTCTCAGGCATATATTTAAATTCTATACCATAATAAAGTAACTATGGCTGTGTCCAAAACGACAGGCCTGGTCCTCCGGAGGACCCAGACTCCCCGGTCTCGGCGGGCCGGGTCCTTGGTAGACCGGGAAGACCGGAAAAAAAGAGGCTGTGAATTTGGACGGTCTAGCCTCCCCTCCTTACCCTGGCGTACATCTTGTCACCTAGCAACTGTGACGACGTTGAACAAGCAAACTTAAATCAAAACTAGAAAAATATCAATACATTAGCATTATTAATATCACAAAACTATAAAATTAACTTAAAAGTATCATTTGAAGAACTAATTGACCCGCTGTAGGTTCATGTTTATTTCGCGTTTTTTATGACAAAAATAATATGTAAAAACATGTCCATACAAATGATAAAAGTATTAGAATTACAACCGCTAATTTTTTTCAATTTTTATATCACCATATTTATATTTAAAATGTATTCTTTTCTCTTGCTTCGTCCGCCATTACTAGCATAAAAAAATCTCCGGTCGGGCCGCAATGCATTATGGGATATGCYGGGCCGGGAAGGATCCATCGGACCTGTCCTTCGATTCGGGCCAAAGGAAGGACGTATTTGTCGGCCGCATCGGAGGAGTCTTCGGTTTTGGAYGTCCTTCGTCGCGGCGCTGTGACGAATGCGGCTGATGAATTCGACCTTCGGAGGACCCGTCCTGCCGTTTTGGACACAGCCAGTGCCACCTTCAGTTGTTATTAAAATGTTTATATGTTTAAATAGAAAATAAACTTGACTTATCATATCTGTTTCTAAACGCCTTGAAATTGGCCTCTGTCTCTTTAAGAACCTCCTTCTGCTTCTGCCCCGCCCATTTCAGCATGGGGCTGGGTGGGTGTGTGYGCTCTGTGATAAGGAAACTCAGCTTGGAGACACAGCCCAGAGGAGGAGCTGGTCCCAAAAGGCGGTTCTAGGCCCAACCGGTCGTTTTTGCTCCCCTGCCTGGCTGCCTCAGGACACTGCAGGATTTCTCAAACATGCATGAATGAGTCAAAGYAAGACTTTGGGCATATTTATGATGAGAGGATAAGATTATAACATGATATAAAACTCAAAAAAGTTGATTTTACATGACATTGCCCCTTTAAATGCCACCTTCAGCAGTGGTTAGCAGCATTGGCAGTTGCTTTTGTAGCAGGATGATGTCACAACAAACGACACAAATCAGTGGCATAGCCTGCATTCCATTTACATACATTTAACATTTAGTAAATATTAGTAAACTGTAAGAAGTAAGCTAAAAAATAATAAAATGTTAGAAATTTTTTAACTTGGATTCGAGATTCAAAAAGCGAGCTAAACAATGAAAAAGTTAGACATTTTTTAACATTTTATTTTATACTTTGCTCCCGATATTTGAGTAGGTCGAGACACATTTAATGTCATTTTTACCCAACATCCAACTTAAAAATGTTGTCATGTCTTTGTTTTTGTCTTGGCTTCACTTTTAACATCTGCAAACGTAAAAAAAAAAAAAAAAAAAAAAAAAAAAAAAAAAAAAAAGCTATATAAACAAAAAACAAACAAAAAATACTGTTTGGAAACATAAAAACCCAGAGTGAAAGGCTTTCATTTGTGGCGCTGTCTTTCTTCTTTCCACCAGAAACCTCCTGAACACAACTTAATAGACAGTCTAAAGCAAATCAGACACCCTTTCAATACACTAAAAAGGTGARAGCTGCAGGGCGCCAAATAGAAAGTCTATTCATTCATTATAGTAGTCACTTTAAAAAGGAGAGCAGACAGAGGAGGAGAGGTACCACTGGGAAAACAGATAGAGAGGAGAGAAGAGACATCAATAATAAAGAGGAATCTGAGGGTGGGACAGAGTGGAACTACTTTATTCTCTGAATAACTATGTTTATGCGTTCAGCCTTTAAAAAGGGATGGCATGCTTATGTAAAAAAAAAAAACACTAGTGGGAATTATCAAAACCACCAGACTAAAGCTTTACTTTATTGGACAGCGTGTTTAGACAAGCGTTCTGCTCTTGTGAACTGAGCCGTGTTTAATATACAAAACATTTTGAGCTGAGAAGAAACTTTAACCATTTTTTTCCTTTTTTTGTCTTCTGGCTTTTAATGACAAAGCTGCAAGGTTTTTTTTTATCTAAATTAAATGTCTTTGTTTTGCCTTTTTTTAATTACTGACTGTGACAAAATCATACCTAGTCAGCATGTAGCCACTTAGTTATGCCCCAACATTACAGAGCATTTAGTTTAAAATAATGAAACWAACTGCAGCAATTAGAAAGTGGCTGATTGTACAGCATTCTAGGTGACCCAACCAAAAAGTATCTTCATTTCATTTAAACACTGAAATAACTTATTTTTGAGAAGTTATTTACTCCTTGTTTTTCTACACTTGTTGCTGCTGTAATGTAAATTTCTCCACTGTGGAATAAATAAAATCTTATCTTATGTTTTTTTTTATAATCTAGTTAATAATTGTTCATTTACRCTCTTGTTTTAAAACATACTTTTGTCATTTCTGCACATCCCTTACCAAACTAAAACTTTCCCTAACCAAGTGACTCATGTAACTTTCAGAATAAGAACTTGTACTGTAATAAATGTAGATTTATAGCATGTAACCATAAAAAAGTGAACTATTAACTTTGAAATTTGAAAAGGCTGCACGCCAACCCAATCTTTTGGCTCAGCCTGCCGCTGTGTTGGAGGATTGGCTGCTTTACAGTTTAAAAAGTGGCAAATTGTGGAAATAAAACAGAACATATGTGTCTCCGGTGCATTTTCTTTAAAGACTTTGTTGAGAAATTGTCTTTTCTTTGGGTTTTATGGCGGCATAGAGGGACTTCTTTAGCTCAACTGGAAACAGGTTTGGTGATGAAAACGAAGGCATGAAGAAGAGATAGTGGAGTGGTGAGAGGAACATGAGCTGACTGATGGAGGGATATGAAAAACGTGTCTTGGAGACAAAGCCTCCGAGGCCTGTGAGAGGGYGATAGCTTCCTCCTCAGTGTCACCTCTCCATCTTTGGCTAAAAGAMTGCAAATTCTTATCATCTCCTCCCGGCTAGTGGAGCCTGAACCCATTCTCTTTGGCCTTATTCTTAGAAAAAACACAACTCCTTGTGATTAAGGATCAAGTAGAGGAACATGACAGCAATGATGACGATAATAAGAGACAAAATGGATTATTTCTACGTTATTTCAGAGGCAGCTAAAGGCAGCACATGTCTGGAATAGTTGAATAGATGCTATAGGTTTTAGTCTTTGATGTGATAATGGCTGCTTGGTGTGTTTGTGGTTTCTCTGTCAAGACTCAAGTGGAAAATGACTTTGCACACTGCGGTGAACACAGCGGCTGTGTCACGTTCCTCGCCCACACATTGTCGGAGAGACCCCCACCTTCTAATCCAAAGCTATCGGGGTGCAGCTTGGCTGAGCGATTCTGTTTTCCAGTCCAAAACCACTGGTCTGGTTTCTCCTCCAAGTCAAGTCTGGCGTGACGAGCCTGGTGCTGATTGTTGGGTGTGGTTAGTGTGTGTTTTAAATTTTTTTATTCCTCAGTGCTGCAAACTATCCCACAGAGGTGGGAGATTTAAAAGGTTTATTATCAGGCAGAATGCTTGGACTTCAGAATATTGTTAGGTGGTTTTGTAGCAGGGTTTGTGCCAGACAAGACATTTTTGGCTCTGAACTTCCCTGACTTAGTTTCCCGGAGGCACATTCTGAAAAAATWACTCAAAGCTTTTATCCTTTTCAAAATTCAAGGATAAAACCTCAGCACGGTGGCCAGGCTCACAGGTAGAAAAACACAAGATACACAAACACACACACCCGCTCAGAACCTCTGCCATACACAACTAAGATCTTGATTTTATACACCTTACCACAGTCTCCCCTAACCCCACAGCAATAAAACGTCTCAGTGTGCGCTCTAATATTCCACGCACATGCACTCAGTCCAACAGTAACACTAATAACTCCTAYTGAAAGAGCAAATTCCAACTTACCACCAGTCGCCACAGTGATTTCACGCAGGAGATGCCCATAAAACGGGAAATCGAAGGACAGATTAACTCTCTGTGAGAGGAAAGACAGACAGACGGCACAAGTCAGGAGGACGGCAGGAACTGAAAAATCCAAAACTGACTTTTTTTTATCTTTAAAACCTCCAGAAGATYAAGATCAAAAGCAAAATGTGAAAGGTAAATACAAAGGTGGATGGCATGTTGCTGCACACCGCGGTGAAGTATGGAATACAAATCATGACCTCTGCAACATGTTTCCCAAGAAATACGCAAACATTGTGTTTACCACTGAGGTTAAACAGCAACTTATGACACTCAATGGTAACTCTATAAAAATATATAATTGTTTCTTTAGATCTCTGGTGAATACAAAGTTTCATTCTGAAAAAAAGAGAAATAAAAAGAAATGGTAATTAGGAATTAATAACTAAGTTTTACAATGAATTTGTGGCCATAAAATTCAAAAATGTTATTTTTTTTGTGCAATTGAACAAAGTAGCTGCTAATCCCTTCCTGCTAGCATCACTTCAGCTCACATAAAAGAGCAAAACAGATGAAACTGACCTAAACGTTAAACAGAATTTCATGTAATAATCTTGATTAAGTCATGTATGGTCTTGATGGACATTTGATAGATGACAGCAGTTCTACAAATATTAAATATCAAATATAAAGTTTGGCTTCTAATAAACAGTTTAAAGATAACCAGTTTTAAAGAACAAAAAAAATTGTTTAGTTAGATCAATATCATTTTATAAATCTGAGGTTTGTCAAAAACATCACTTATTTTCAATATTACAAACTGCATATCTTAAAAATGCTAGACCTACTGTATGTATATATTTAAGATGCATATAAAAGCTAGTTAGTATTCTGAAGGTATATGAAAGAGCAAAATGTGAAGCTATATGAATTGTTGTTTGAGTTGATGTTTTTATCTTTATTTTTATTTAGTAGTTTTGTAAATTATCTTTTCTTTGAACATATATTGGGGATCATAGGGTGCAGACATAAGATTCATTCTTCTTCTGCTACCTTTCATTTTATTTTGATTTTTTGATTTGTGTATTTTCTTAGTTTCTATAGTTATTTTGTTTTTAATGAAATTAATAAATTTTTTGAATTTTAAATTGAAAAAAATTACAGTTTAACAAGTTTAATTATGTTCAACTCAAACACAGACATTTTTACAAGATGTTAAGATGGACAGGTACTGAATATTTACATTTTGACATTTTACCTACCTACAATAAGACAAGAATTATGAGTTATGTAGAAAAAAATGAAAAATGAAATTCATGAAGTGGGCGTTCTGTGGAAGTTATTAAGAGTTTTTATCTTACTTGTAAATAGATTTATGAATGACCTCCCTTTTTGGGAAATGGAGATTAATTTTTTACAGGATTGATCAGTTAAAAGCTGATTGAAGTAAATAGATGGTGTGTTGTTGGTTTAGCCATTTCTTGGACTAGCTGTTAGCTTGTGGATCTTCACACTGATTCAAAGAGACATCTGCGACAGGTAAGATATTATCTGTCACAAACTTCACACTAAAAGATCTTAATTATCACTTCAAATAAATCAAATTCATTTATCTTTTTATTTTCCCTAGAGGAACTGGGCAGTCATACATGCATAGTTTAAAACCTTTTCATGTACGTTTTCATCATCTTATCTATACACTGAACACGCCACAGTCACAACCAGAAGATAATATGGAGATTGACAATTTGCAGTAAAAATTGCATCTATGCGGTCCTGCATCAGTAATCCTGTGGTAAACCACCCTGAAGCTCACAGTCGATGAAGCCAATCTAGTGCTTAACTTCTCTTCAACTCTGTGATGGAGTTGACCTCTTTGGCTGGCTTTTGTTTGTGTCCTTATCAGCCTTTTTTCCCTTCCTTTCCGTATCGTGGCCAAAGTCACGGCAGGCAGCAGAGCTGAAAGGGAGCGAGCTCTCTTGAGTTTTAAGGTTTTTCTCGGGACTTTAACGAGCACCACATTAAACTATTTCTTTAAAATATTAGTCCTCCGACACCGTGCCACAGATCATTTAGCACAGATGGTTTTCTCCTCTCAGTTATTCAGCCGAGACTTCCCACGTGTCCTTTTGGACTCTACAATTGCTTGGCTGACCATTAAAATGGGATATTCACTTACTGATTTTTCAAAACCGTGCCAAAGTCAGAGAAACGTCTAAAATTTGTTCCTGTTTTTTTTTTTTTGAGGACTTTCTGAAGCTGAGATGAAAAAGCTCCCCTTAGATTTAATTGTTCAATCCATCATTACCGACCCGAAGGTGGAGGAGCAGAATGAACAATATTGGACTCTTTTCTGCTAGTATTCACTGCTAGTATTCACTGCTAGTATTCACTCAGGGTACTTTTTTTATTTCATTTTTTTCCCCTCGCCATGATGCTTTGTTTCTCTGGTCTGCTGCTGCTGCCGTGGGTGACTTTATCAGTATGCAGCTCACATGGGTCACCTGCCTGCACCGACATGAAGGGAGGGGAGCTTTAAACGTCGCTGCAGAGAAGATTTTAAATCTGCACGAAGAATACATGGATTTTTAACCTCTTAATCAGATAACTTACAGAGAAAGCAAGGCTCTTCAGTTTTTCAGCCATTATAGTTTTAGTTGTAGAACCTGGATCTTAATATGCGACATAAATATGTTTTCAAAAAGGCTTTCCACAGCACGTATTTATAATGTACAAAGTAAAATTTATGATGGACTAAACAACCACCTTGATGAAGAGAAAATCATTCTCAATGATGCAATCAATACTAGCGTTACACTGATGTTTTTTCATTCTTTCCTTGTATTTGAGTTTAACAAATCATTTATTATCTAGTGGTCTGACCTGTTATTAAAACATTTTGGCCAACTTCAGTTATTTTAAATGAATTTTATAAAAGGAATTGATGCTGAGAATATTAAAGTCACATTAAATTTTATGAACATAAAAGTCAAAAAGCTGTAAGATGCCAACTCAAGGCTTCAAGTGCTGAATAAAACTGATTAACAGGATTAAAAATATACGTTTTACCATTTACTTTAAATTTGAGACAAGAATAAGTGAAACTTTTGATGCTTTGTTAATTGAGATTTGCATAACCTAGCAATTATCTAGCAATCCCAGTAACTATGTTAGCATTTCTTTCTAATATTCATTTAAATTGAGTTTTTCTAACAGATAGATCTTTTGAAACCCTTAAAATAGTTAAAGATATAAGCATTGCCTTTTACACACATTTAAGAAAACAGTTGCTTGTTATTGATGCAGGTTCAGTTATATGAAAAATAATTTAGTAGATATTCTTGAATTTAAGACAAATAAAATCCAAACAAAGAGTTCAAATTTTTCAAATCAGCATTTAGCATCAACCAAACCTCTTCCTTCTCATGCTGTTTGTTGACTTACCGCTGCCTGTCTGTGTGTGTTGGACAGAATCCCATGGATCTTCACTTTGTCCTTCTCCATCTGCTCAATGTTTACCCACAAGTCTTTGCTCATAGGATCTGAGGGGCCGTATGTTTTTGATGTGTAGTAGTTGTGGTCTGTGTCCTCCTAAAGAACGACAAATAATAATGGAACGCAACGATATGAAAGGATGAACAGCAGAAAGTTGATGCAGTCTTTCACATTGTGCTCCAAAGCAAATCATCTTTACTAATTAAATTAGGCAATGCAGTCATTTACTTGAAAGAGTTCGTATTTTCCCTTCTCTTCTCTTCAGTTCAACTCTATCTTCTCAATCAGCACATGTATTAGTTTAACGTCTGCTAAGCACATTAGAGTAAGTCTGTTAACTTCCTGTACTCTTCAGAAGCCTGGACCAGACTGCAAAGTCAGGTCAACCATTTATAACAGGAACATTTATGGACTTTTGTAAACCTCCAAGCAGGAGCCTGTTGAATTTTATTGTTTCCTGTGCAGAATTAGGAAGAAGGCTCGTGTTATCTCTTTCCCTCTGAGTCTAGTGATACATTACAGCTGTGTCTTTTATCTAACACACTATTAAAGTTAATGTGCTGAACCAAGAGTTGAGAAGGGGCTTCCTTTTCTTCTGACTGTGAGCTGACTAATAGGAACTCGCACTGCTCTGTGGTTACTTTGTTACATGGGTGGCAACAGTCAGAGCCACTTCACTTCGGTTGTCAAAAGGCCGATCCTTGCATTKTCAGTTCCCTTTGCTTTGAGGAATAATATTTGCTTGTTCTCATAGATTTATAATCTAATACTTTGCCTCAAAGTCCAGACTTGAATATCAGACAGAGGGGTCTATTGTTTCCAATTAGGGGAAATCTTTGTGGAAAGTAGCAGAAATGTGGGAGATGAATCATGCTGGTTGTGTTACAACTGATTTATTTGCAGAAGTAAACTTGTGCTGCCAGAGGCTTTTCGTCACAGCTCTCAGTACTGATGATTCATGTCAGCACGAAGAAAAAGGCCCCTGCTGGCAACTTTGTTCAGCCCCTCCATTCCAGAACAGAAGGAAAAGCAGACACACAAGCAGAGCAAGCTTCAACTGAAAAAAAAAAAACACATTAAGTCCATTTTAAATCCATATACCTTTACCTAAAAAATTATTGCAAACAAGGTGAGGTATTTACAGTTAACAGAAAAACTGAAAAACCTCATCATTACAGCTGTCTTGAATGMCATTTAGCTAAATCTATTAATCAAAACCCTGTTTTTCTAAAACAGAGGATAAGAAGACACCGTGTTTTGCACATAAAGACAGATGGTGACGCTCGTCTCAGATGACCTAAATGTTTCACTCAGTTTTGAGGACAAATTGCGGCTGAGCAGATTGTTTTTAACACACAATAAATAATTTGCTGTGTTTTCGTTTAATGGCTGGCACTGAAATACAGAAGGCAGGCAATAAAATTTGTGTCATAACAATGTGTCCTCAACAAAGTCATTGAATATCTATAAATTAAACTATTTTTTTAAGTCTGTAACACATGAAAATGAGGAAACTACTAATTCACAAAAAAATAGAGATTAACTTTTAAAAATTGAAGTGTTCCTAAAACATCAGTGGAGTTGGGTCTATATTTCCTTTACAGCACATTATATGTGCTTTTTGAGCTACATTTATATCTTCCTCTTGTAAAAGAACATTAGACMTATTTTTAAATTTTACACACAACTTGAGGATAACTAGATTTAAAGATGCTGCACAGTAATGTTAAGAGACTCAAACTCTTCCACTGTGCTGGAACATTTAATGAAAACTTGTACAGAAATGCTAAAACTTGATGAAAATGGAGAAAACAAATGTGTCCTTTTTTTCTCTGTTTTTTACTTGAGCTGCCAAGAGCATCATTATTGCATCACACTGAGCTCTGTATGTTACGCAACATACAGTATTTTCACTTCTGAAAGGTTCTACAGAACCTTGATAAAAAAGATGTAAAGCTTTACTCCATTGAGATTTTGCCAGGAGTCTCACTAAACCTTATTATAAAGCTTYTTAAAACTATTTTAAGTTAGTTGATGCTGGAATTTTCTTGTTTTCTTTTGTGTAACACAAGAAAAGCCGGCTAAAACTTTAAATCCCTAAGCGACGATCATGCTTCAGCGAAAATGTTTTTTGAATAAATGAATCAGTAGTTTGGTCTTAAGAGGCTTTTTCTCCCTAAACCAGCACATTGCTTCGTGACATTGTATTAAACTGAGAAAAATGCATTAAGATGTCGCCATCGATCATGTGTGCAGCTCATCTTCAGCTGATAATGTCTGCCATCCATTATTTCTAACTGGGCTCTGTCTGCTTAAAGCATCTTGGTAGGACTGAAACATATACCRGTTAGGAATAATTTAAACTTCCTTGATCAGTAGATAAAGAAACAGAAACAAATGTCTTCATAAATATAAAGGCTGAACTTTGATTTGATCTTTTTTTCATTTGGAAAATATAGCAAAACTCAAAGGATTAAAAAATAAGTAAAATGGATTTGAAATGGTCTAAATTTTGGTTTAATGTAACAAATGACCGATTCAATCTAAACCAGATCAAATCAAATAAACAAATATGAATAGCACTAATCAATGTTTCAAAGTGGGGGCCACAGCCACAGCCAGAGGGTGCTGGGGGGAAAGCTGGAAGGAAGATGTGAAAAAAATAACTTGGAAAAAAAATGGAAAACAGCTTTATTTATTTTATGATAATGATTTAAAACATTATTTTAAATTGAATATATATTTTATAATACAATTTCTAATACTGTATATTGTAATGTATTTAAGGGACTTAAGAGATGTTTACTTTATTTAGCTCGGTTCTGATCATCATTATATTTGTTGTAAAATATTTTTTTCAGTTGGAATATAAAACATGTTTGACATATTTTATAGCACTGATTGTTTATAGCATTCCAGATCTCATTTGCAAGGGAGGCACTGGCCTGAAGGCAACATATTGGAGAAACCGGAGTACCCAGAGAAAACCCACGCAAGCATGAAAAAAGACCCCAGGTCCGAACCGAGGGTCAAACCCAGGATCTTCTTGCAGTGAAGTGTAGTGGTGACCACTACAGAGGCATCAGTGCTTACCACTGAGTCATGGTACTCCCATTAAGCACGTATTGTCTTGTTTTGTCTAACAAACAAAAAAAAAAGGCTGAAATTTATGCAGAAATGAGTTCACGTGAAGAGCATTTCCGACCACGGGACTGTCTTAACATGGGAGAGATACGGTAATGCACTGACAAACATTTGGTCTTGTAGGAATCTCTTCACAAAGTGAGACACAAAACAAACAGATTGTTGCAGGTTTTAAAAATGAAACAACTGTACTGCAATGATTCAAAACACGTCAAATAGAAGTGGCAGCGTGATACACAGACCCAAACATCCAACACAGCTGCATCAAGTGCTTTTATTTTCAGTCTGAAAACATTGAGACAGACTGTAGCTCAGTCTAAGTGTGGACATGTCAGTGCATGTGATTAACTTATCTTTATTTTAACACAGGAAGTCATTTTGCTCCATTAGTCAGGCTGCAGTTGGGATTAAAAACAAAACATTGTATGTAATCTATCATTAGATTGGCTTATTATTGTCGGTAAAATTGATCTTCTCATGACAACATCCTCCAACGTTTGCCTGTAAATCTGTTGCTTTGTCTGGCTGAACTAAATGTGTAACGTTGCACAGACTCTAAAGGTCCACTAAGGAAAATTTATCATCCCGACTTACTAAAATTCATCTGGCTGGAAGTTTCATTTTTATATGTGCTTTAAGTTCAGACGAGACCCATAAAGTCTTTCTCCAGCCTGAGCAGCTGTTCAGAGYGGCTGGAAAGCAACTGTGTTACACATTTTTATCTCAACAACATATTAATGTAAATATCCTGATTGTTACTGAGTGATATACCAGGGATGTTTACYATTACATCCTGGTGACAAAGACAAATTTTATGCTTTGTGGGTTTTATTTCTCCACACAGGTCTACTCAGCTCGGCCGCAACTACCATAAATTCAACGAGGCTAGGATTTACTGATGGCAGCTGTCGATCTGATGTGTCTGAACTCATTGATCCTGCAAACAAAATGTACAATCCAATGTTTTTAAACCTCTCTGAAAGGATATTTCTCAYGTGGCACTTCAAGTTTAACATGCATGTATACATGTWTAACATTTATTTAATTATTACCACAGATGCTTATTGGAACCATGAGACATAAATATTGCAGATGCTTTAATAAGTGACTGATATATCTTGTCTTTATCCACCATCAGCTGTTGATATCCATTTTAAATGGTGCCACATTTGTAAGGAATATGCATCTGTGGGATGAGCAGTAGAGATGAGTATGTGGKTTTCACACATGAAAAAATTGCCAAATTTTCTCTGCCAAACAGCTAGATTTGCCGTTATTGACTCTTGTTTTAAGCTTACACTAGGTTCTGCCAGTCAGGTGCCCACTATAAGATTTATTGCCAAGAAGCATTGTTCCAACAAAGTAATAATCTACCAAACAAACAAACAAGTGTATTTATCCTAAGTATATTTGATTTAATAATCAGAGTTTCTTGGAATCGGCAAATACCCAAGCTAAAGTACTTGTTCTCATACTTGGCTTCAGAAAAACTTGTGTCCATACACACAGTATATACAGTAAATAGCTGTACACAAGCATTAAAGTGCAGATGTTTCCTACAGCAGACCATATTTTGTTCTGTTATTGCTTTTCTTATTTAATGTTTTGTTCAAGACGGAAAAGCTGACCCTGAATTTCGCTCCCTTCAGCTCACTGAACTATTTCAGCGTGTGCAGCTTAAAGTGGCCTGTGTACACTTGCGTGTGGGTGAATGTTTGCAGCTGACGATCAAAGCTTCCACCTTCATCTCTGCGAGACGTGAAGCTGTGAACCTGAGATGATTAGAAGCCAAGGGGAAACCTAACAAGCTGTCTAAACCCAGGCGCCCACCGTCATTATGACTGAACTCCTCGGTGCGGAGCCGCAGACGAGACCAGCTGATGCCGTTCGTTCCCACGGACTCGAGCACGGGTCAGACACGGCTTTTAATCTCCTGCAGGTCCTCCAATCAGCGCTTGTTGTAGGAGTCTGGGTTAATTTCCTGCTTTAGAGTCTTCAATGTTATATTTAATATGATCCATTCCAACAGAGAAGGTGGATGAACACCTGAGAGCTGAAATGGATTTTATATTAAATAATATAGCTTTAAGGAACCATTTTGTCTTCTTATTCATTACTAAACAGCAGTTTTTCTTAGAGGATTCATGTTTTACTTCAAGGATGTGACCACCCAGAATACACAAACTAATGTGACATAAATACTGTATATCTGGACATTTCTAAGCATTTTCTTTTTCTAAATTATTCATAGTGACAAAAACCTACAATAAGGAAGAACACTATAAACTCTATGATTCAGTGGAACAGACTCCATCTATTGCTGGCCAAAGTACGTATATCAACATCTCCAAATGAATTTGACAAGGGCATAATGATGTCATTTCTCAAATACGTCCATGCAAAATTAAGCTAGCTGCCATGTTCCCTCGTCCTGACCACACCTTTTCGCTCATCCTCCACACTTGGCCGTGCCCCTCAGTGTCTCTAGGCACCGCCCACTTTGTTGGAATTTTTTTAGTTTGCCTGAGGGCGGGGTTAGTTACATTTTAAAGCCGCAGCATGGTCCACAGGACGGCGCTGAGCTGTCTTGACAGAGTCAAACTTCTGGTTTGATAAAAATAAAAAAGACGTTTTTTTGGTTTTTGGAGTATAAAATTAACAGTTTTTGATTTTCAATATCTGTTTTTAAAGTGAAAAATCAAAACAAAACAAAAAAACTCAATGACCAAGAAGTACACGGACTTCTAAAGGAACTCAAACTACGATWCGTCACGCTTGGCTCTTCCACGACACGACACTCAACTCAGAGTTACCTCTATCTGGGAGCTGTTGTCGGTATCTTCCGCAGACAATAGACCCGGAAAACTTTCGGGGTCCTCCGGTTCTGCGTTCTGATCTTGCTCTTGGCTGGCCCGGTTGCTGTCCATGTTTTGAGGTTTTGGGGGAAGCCATCTCCTCCACCGGTGACTGAACAGCTTCACCTCCACTGCAGAGCTCTCATCTCCAGCTTGCCTCTGCACATATGAGTAAAAGACCCCTGAGGAAACAGAAGGGAAAGTCTGACTATAGAAGAAATACATAAAAAAATAAATAAATAAAACAAAGCATCACAACAAAGGAAAACCACCTCACTGTTCAGACCTTTTGAAATGATTGTAGAAAGATTCCACTTTTGTCACCGTCTCAAAATTCAACTAATTTCCTCCAAGTGGAGGACATTCAATGAACTTTATACAAGAAGTAGGATATTTGTTCTTCACAACCATTTAACCAAACCCCAATTCAAAACATCTAATTGCTTTAAGGCTGTAAATTTAGGTAAATAAATGTGTAAAAAGGGGCCACATATACGCTCTCACTGGTGCGTTACATGACACAACATTAACTCAAGCACCCTAAATTTAGTGCCAAAGTGAAATGAATAATCTGCTGCAGTGTTACTAAGTGCCAGGTGCGCACYTCAAACTGTTAAATTTCTTCACCATAAGGCAGTTTTTAAATCAAAAGGCCAGGGAAGGTTTAGACCATTAATTTTGTGGCTCTTCCTCAGAAACACACTCGTTTGCAAAATGTTCTCAAATCCTTCAGGAGATTTTTTTTTCTGCCTGGAACCAACGTGCGTGATGACTCAGCAGCTAAACCAGCGGGCCACAGACAAGGTCATCAAGGTCTACGAGGAGTCTGAATTCAGACTCTGACAGAAATGCTAATGTGGTAATTTAAACACTTTATTAATAAGCAATCTGCAGTTAAAAATCTGTTGGGTTTGTCCAATAAAAACAAGCAGATCTTTCATTGTTRCATCATAAAAAATGAATATAAGAACTGTGCTGCTGGTATGGCTCACATTTAAAGCAACATGACATTTCATCAAATGGTAAATGGTACTGAACTTATAGAGCGCTTTTCAAGTCCCTCCGGACCCCAAAGCGCTTTACACTAACAGACATTCACCCATTCACACACACATTCACACACTGATGATGGCAAACTACACTGTAGCCACAGCTGCCCTGGGGCACACTGACAGAGGTGGGGCTGCCATGTATCGGCGCCACCGGACCCTCTGACCATCATTAGTAGGCAAGGTGGGTGAAGTGTCAAGGACACAACGACTGAGACGGCTGGACGGGGGATCGAACCAGTGACCTTCTGGTTCCAGGACGACTCCCCTAACCACTCCGCCACAGCTGCCCCAAGGTAAAAATCTCATTCTATTAAAGTGTTGTTATCAGGTTCTGGTGACAAAACTAAAAGATTCTCGGATATTTTTGACAACTAGCATGTTCTGCTTCCATGTGTGGGCACAAACTATATGGTAATAAGTTGTGTGCAGTTAGGCAAAATGAGGAGAAAGTGAGTTCAGAAACTATAAAGATAATGCCTAACTATAGTTTTGTAAACATATTGCACATATACCCCTTCACACCGAAAATGTTACCTCATAGTAAAAAATTAAATCTACCATCGACTCCAGTCAGACTTATAGTCTTTRGAGGACATATCATCCAAACTCTATTTTTTTAGCCCCTTAAATATGCTTTGTGTACTCGGAGTCTCTAGGAGTGCAGAAAAGATTAATTTAGTGATATTTTTATTTTCTGTTTGGGTCCTAATTTTCAATCCGTTCAGTTTTCTCTATTCACTATTACGTTTTCTTGAACAACTTCACAAATTAACCAAAGTCATGGACGTCTGGCTAACCATTTTGCAAATCTGCTATTTTTATTTCTTGCAGTAATTTTGTAGTTTAAGTTCAAGGATGCCAAGGCTACAAGTGGATGGACAAGTTTCTCTTTATTGATCAGGGTTTCCCCCAGAAACCCTGCTAAACCCAGTGGTAAATGCTTTGAAAGGCTGGTTAGAGACATCTGCTCTTCATTGCCCGCCARTTTAGACCCACTGCAGTTTGCCTATAGGCAAAATAGATCAACAGATGATGCAATAGCAATGACTCTCCATATTGCCCTCTCCCACCTGGACAAGAAGGACACATACGTGAGAATGCTGTTCGTGGATTACAGCTCKGCTTTCAACACCATCATTCCTTCAAGACTTGACAACAAGCTCRGGGATCTGGGTTTGAACAGTTCCTTGTGCAGCTGGATCCTGAACTTCCTGACGAGTCGACAACAAGCAGTAAGGATGGGCACAAATACATCCATCACACTGACCCTCAATATTGGAGCTCCTCAGGGCTGTGTGCTCAGCCCGCTACTGTATTCTTTGTTCGCATGACTGCACTGCCAGACACAGTTCCAACATGATCATAAAGTTTGCTGATGATACTATGATCATGGGCTTGATCTCTAACAATGAATTGGCCTATAGAGAGGAAGTTAACATCCTGACTAATTGGTGTACAGAGAGCAATCTTTCTCTGAACATCAGCAATACCAAGTAGCTGTTAGTGGATTTCAGAAAGCAGAAGAGAGCCAGGCAAATCCTCTTCCCAAATCGCTTTTGTCAAGGGCAGCCTGGGCCTTAAGACAACCTTGTAGGTTTGTTTATTAGTGATGGACTGAATTCTTGTTTGGATAAGTTTCTGTCCCTCCACGACCCTAATAGGATTAAGGTCTTARATAAATTAATAACAAACTTAATTTCATAGCTCTCATCCCATGCTTACAAAGTGCTGCATGTTGTTGATCCTATGCAAATAGTTATGGCTCGAGGATAGAGAAAACTGCTGATTCCTCCGCTATTACTCTGCAATGCTTCTTTTGTTATAAGACAGAAGTCGTAAGGTTTAACAAGCAGGGAATATTTCCTGTTCCTTCCCTCCTGTCAAGTTCTTCATGCTGTCCTCTTCTTTCCTCCTCGACTGCTGGTTCCCCGAAGGGGAGGAGTGAGGCGATGGGAGCCAGCAGAGAAGCTTAAGATGCTAATTCACCCAAAGAGGGGGCTGACAGATGCACTTCATTAGGAGTAAAATAGGAGATGAAGCTGCTGGTTGTAGTGGGTGATGATGTGCAGTGGAAGAATTTGTCTGTGCAGACTGCAGAGTAAGAAATATGGCTGAGATGACAGTGTCATAATTCGCATTAATTACTTTTTGGTGAATAAAAAAATCCCCTTTAGTCTGTAATGTTAAAAATCAGAAACTGATTCAGATTTTCTGCTGTGGTTCTGGATTCACACACTCAAATTTTAAACAACCCTACTGASAKGARAAAYGATAGCCATTCATCAAAAATTTAAAAACTTCCTTTTTGGATTAAAACAAGCTGTACGCCAATGTCTCCCAGTACTGAGGGCTTTGAACAGTGAATGTTTGTAGTTTTTTTAAAAGTATTTTTCTAGACTGGAATTAAACTGGGAATACAAGTAAACTTTAATGCTTTTGGTGCAAGATATTCAAATCGGTAGAGGTTACAATGTGTTTAAGAACAGAGGTAGTTTGTTTTTTATCCTGCTTTTTCCAAGGTGTAGCGTGATGGGTCATGGCGAGCGAAGGGAGCAATTTTATCAACCAGGAACAATGGCAGAGCCAGTGGCCAAATGTGGTATTTGAGCTGGCATCATTAATATGTAAAATAAAAGTGATTTTTTTCATTAATTAACATTTAATTAACCTGGAAAATCCCATTGAGATCTCAGACCTCTTGCAAAGGCCTGGGCCTGAAGGTAACCTATTGTACATGTTTTTGATCTTATTGAAATGATCTTTAGAAAACAGCAGTGTTTAAACTTTTTTCCTCTCAGTTTTGTTGTTCAGACTCTGCAGCAGCTTCTTTTGATCAACTGCTCACTTCTAAAACAAATATTCTCAGYGTACCTCTAATCCTCCCTGACAGCCACACAGTTCCTAATGGCCATTAGTCACATCCATGCAGACAAACAGCACAGACCTTTTCCTGTAAATGGCCAAAACATACACTAAAGCATCCCTACAAGCTCTTCCAGTCCCACATAAACATTTATTTTATTCTTTAAAAGGATCCTTTTCACCTCAGTGAAAGGCTGGAAAACACAGCCTTGAATAATTGGCTCTCCTTTCTCAGAGTCCTCCTCAGCGGACGKTCATGATGAGTCACTTCTTTACAGGATCACATGTACCTGCATTTCTTGACAGCACCTCCTCTGTGGCACAGGGATGGCAGAGTATCCTGTTATCCACAGGAAAGTTAGAGTTTATTGTAATGGATTTAGGAGGGTAAAAAGGGTAAACCCCAGAGGGACACCAAAAATCCCCCTCTTTCAGGACAAGTCTTCTCCTCAGGGGTGAGACTGCTCCTCAGCTTTTGTGAGGGGAAACCTTTTCCTCCTGCATTTCTTTCAGTGCCTCTAAAAGCCCCCCACATGCTTTCACCCGAACTCTGTCGAGCAGCCTTGTTGGCCAGACTAATGTCTGTCAACACCTCTGATTCACAAACACAGAGGCTGTAATTTGGTTCCACAGAAAACCATTCAAGGAAACCGAGGTGGTCAAAACAAAATTGCAGGAGAAACTTTCTGTCTGCACCTTTTCTTTTCATTTGGTTTCTGCTTTTCCCCCCCCACTTTTCTTTGTTCTCAACAGACGTGGAACTGCTGCCTGCTAGACACTACACGTGAGTCATGTACATGGAATCTGCTTCTATGCTTCTGCATGCATGTAGCCTGCATCATTTCTGCAAAACAGCATCCACCCATCAACATCTTCCTRCCACTGAGCATCAGAGTGCTTAATTTAGTGACCAATAAAAGCTGTTCTATTTGGAAACCAGCTAATAAATTCTTACTCAGGATGTAATAAACATCTGCGCACATTCACTCATAAGGTCAGCATGGCTTATTTGACATTAAAAAAGGAATTAGACCTCTGCTGCTCAGAAAAYAAGTATAATGAATGACATGTTTGTGCCACCCGTTTGATGCTAATGCTAATGATTTTTGTACAGAGCATTTACCCATCTCAAACCCTTGTGTGAAGGAATATTAAATTGTTACCCACGTATGTAAGTTTTAAAAGTATTAAAGGAGCAATATCATGTAAAATCAACTTTGAGTTTTATATCATGTTATGTTATACTCTCATAAAAAACATGCTCAAAG